GCGGGGCGGGTGAGTGCTGAGTGCCAGATGGATGGGCCTCTTTTTCCCCCTCAATGATATTGATTAGGATGCTCTTATTGAAGGCGTTAAGTGTGGTAATAATTCTATTTTTGTCTTTTGTTTCCTGTCTTTATTGTCTTCCTATTTTTCTGTTTTGACTTTGCGTTTGAATTGCTCCTGCACGGTATTAAAAAACGAATCTGCTCGGATGAACTGTTGTTTGTCGTATTGTAGAGCTCCCCTTGAAAATGTTAGCTTGTGGAAACTGCTGTGAGTTTGTATCTTCTCTTATTGGGGCGAGCAAGTTTGTGAATGCAGGTATAATATTTGTAGTTGTGCGCTAGCTTTATATTTATCAAGGCTTATATATAATGCATGTTAAATCTTTTTTTTTTTAAATGTTTTTTAAAATTTTAATTTTTTGAAATGATGAAGAGTGTGTACGTGTGGAGGTTTTGTTGAAAGGAATTCTGCTGCAGGTTGACGTCATAGACGGTGGGTTGAAGAGAAAGATTCTCATAAGTTTTGAGCTTTTATCTGGGAATGCACAAAGTTGACTTTATTTTTAGTGTGAATCTAGAGGTAGTCTGTCTCGTCTCCCTTGTTTTGTTAGGGACACACCTGATTTTTCTACTCCTCCATGGTTTTGTGAGGTCAGCTTGTCAGGTAAAATGAATTCTGTTATTATTGTTTGGAAAAAAGAAAGTAATCAATGAAAGATGGTGGAATTGTAAATTAAATTGAACAAGAAAAAAGAATGAAAGTTATTAAAAAAAGAGTATCTGTAACAATTTCTTTGAAAATTTGTTATGTCATTTTTAAAAATTTGGTGTTCAGGTGTAATGCTGTTCACGGAGACTTGAAAGTATGCGCGTGGTGTGGGGATTGTGTGAAATCCATGCGGATGTCGTTCATTAGTAAATGACTGATTTCCTTTCAGTCTGGCACTGGACCAGTTGTGTGTGTGTGTTTTACTACCATAATATGATTCTTGTTGTTGTGGGAATGTGTTGGCTTTCTCTCACTGATGTATTGATGAATAAAATTGTTTAAAATAAAAATGCTACTCTTTTTCTGTGATGTGTTTCCTCATGTGAGTGTGAGGCTCCAAATGTAAGGTGTGAGTGGTTGGCAGGTGCTCCAGTGTGGTTTGCTCCTTCTTTCCTGTCAGACCACCATCGTCCTGATCTCCCCTCCTTCTTTTTTATGTTTGTTACTCTCTTGTAACACCTCTAATCTTTGGTACTTATATGACCTTATTGTGTTGCTAGTGCTGTAAAACTTTTCTCTCTCTCTCTCTCTCTCTCTCT